GGCTCACCAGCATCCCCTCCAGAAACTCCTGGCATAGTCCGGTACCTGCAGCATCTCCAGTGGCCTCTCTCCACTGTACCAGCCTCGCTCGCTGGCCTGGGGTTCAGCCTGACCGCGGGCCACCCCACACATGGCCGTTGGGGCAGTGACACGGGGCTAGGTCGACCTGGGTGTGCCGGAGTGCCTGTGGTGCACCGCGGCCTTGGCTGGCAGGGAGGCTGGGGGCTGTGTGGTGGGGCCCTGGTAAATCTGATAAAGACAACCTTGAGAAGCCTGTAACGTCATCAGGCAGGTACGCTCCCCACTGCAGTTTAGATCGCACGAAGGCCCCAGTGTCTGCTCTCACCTGCATGCGTAGGCACGTGGCGTCTCCCCAGAGGGAGCACGCGCAGCCGTGTGGCGCCCTGACCAGCAGTAGGCGGGCTTCGACGTGGACGTGGCTGGGTGAGCAGAGCTCAGAGGTCACTGAAGCCTCGTCCTCCCTGGCACAGGACTTCGCCGTGGACGGCCTGGTGAATGTCGTCGGAGGGTGCTGTGGTTCCACGCCGGATCACATCAGGTAGTGACTGCCTCTGGGCCTCTCCCTTCTGTTTGGGTTCACACGGTCGCACAGGTTTGGGCACTGAAGCCCTCCCCTCGGCATCTCAGAGTCCGTGGACTTGGAGATCGGCCTCTAGGGAAAGTGAGGTAACGCAGGTCACACGGGCGGCCCTAACCCAGGCTCTTCGCGCACAAGCATACGCACACACGCACAGGTGGGGACCGTCTGTGAGATACGGGAGGGCCTCAAGAAGCCAGCCCTGCCAGCTGCTCGGGTCCGAGCCCTGGCCTCTGAGTACGAGGAGGCAGGTCTGGTTGGGGCGTGCCTGTCTGTCTGGAAAACTCAGAGTAACTAAAGGGAAGGAGGGAACGCCCGCACGTGCGCCACGGCAGCACCGCCCAGGACGCCTTGCCACCCTCGCTCTCCTCCCCCGCATGTCCTGGTGGGGCCGCTGCCCCGTGGGGGTGGACAGGTGCCCACGATGTCGTCCCTGGGGGACCAGACGGTGGGGCAGCAGCGCTGAGGCGCAGGTGTGCACCTCTGTCCTCGCAGTGCTGTGGCTGCTGGGAACGTTGGGGTCCAGGGAGGGGCCTGCTTCCCTGGGGTGGCAGAGTCCGTCCTCCCTCTGTCGTCAGTCTGACCTGCACGTAGTGGTTCACTCTCACCTCATTGTTCTCTGGCTTGACAACTTTTGTGACAACTTTTTATTTATTTATTAATTAATAAATAGGACTCTTCTTTCGTTTGTTTGTTTTTTGCCATAGGGATGTGTGTGCTCACCAGAGAGACAGGGAGAGTGAGAAATCACCCCCTGGAGGGATGGCCACGCGGCAGTCCCTTCTCCATTCTGCTTTTGGGATTTGGGGTGGGCACACTCATGCACCTAGTGTGGTTTTCAAGCTACCGTGTCTGGGACTCGAACCGCTATCAGACATGGGAGTCTAGCACCTTAACCACTATGCCACTAGGTGGCCCCAATAAATTTGATTTTAAAACATCTTTTAAATAATATCTGAAAACTATCGTTCTTTTTTAAAAAAGTTGTGAGGTGGTGGGTGTGCTTGCCTGGAGAGAGACAGAAGAAAAGTGAGAAGACAGAAGAAAAGTGAGAAATCACCCCTTGGAGGGCGGCCACACCACAATCCTTTGTACATTCCCTCAGGAGTTCGGATGCTCATTCACATGGTCCTGGTGTGTTTATCAAGCTGCCTGATCCGGGGTTTGAACTGGACAGTTGGCCATCTGGGATCCAGCTGTCTTAATCACTACGCCACCTGACTGGCCTGAAAGCTTTCAGTAGTTGATTTTTTCCCCCCAGTTTGCTGGAGGTCATGTGCAGAGAGACCAAGATAGACACAGCACCCCCATGGGGCATGGTGACAGCAGTCCCTTGTCCTCCACCCGCCCCCTCTTGGGCACACATGCATGTATACCCAGGATGTCTCTTTTGTTTTTCCTTTTGTAGAGAGAGTTTTGCTATAGGGTGTGTGCACTCGCCAGAGAGACAGAGAGCGAGAAATCACACACACACACACACACACACACACACCCGGGAGAATGGCCATGCCGCAGCCCCTTCTCCCATTCTCTTGCGATTTTGAGTATGTATGCACACGCACCCAGCCTGAGTTTTAAACTACTGGACCTGGGACTTGAACCACTATCCACTACATGGGAGTTCAGCGACGTAACCACTATGGCATCCGTTCGGCCCAGCCTTTCCTTTAAACTATCGAGGGGAAGCAAGTGCCCGTTTCATGTGTGGGTTCGATGGAGGAAAGGACCTCTCGGGTGTGGGGGACGGGGAGGGCTTTGCTGCTCTGTGCGAACTGTGGCTCCGGCTCGGGCTCTGAGCAGAGGGGTTTTCAAGCTACCGTGTCTGGGACTCGAACCGCTATCAGACATGGGAGTCTAGCACCTTAACCACTATGCCACTAGGTGGCCCCAATAAATTTGATTTTAAAACATCTTTTAAATAATATCTGAAAACTATCGTTCTTTTTTAAAAAAGTTGTGAGGTGGTGGGTGTGCTTGCCTGGAGAGAGACAGAAGAAAAGTGAGAAGACAGAAGAAAAGTGAGAAATCACCCCTTGGAGGGCGGCCACACCACAATCCTTTGTACATTCCCTCAGGAGTTCGGATGCTCATTCACATGGTCCTGGTGTGTTTATCAAGCTGCCTGATCCGGGGTTTGAACTGGACAGTTGGCCATCTGGGATCCAGCTGTCTTAATCACTACGCCACCTGACTGGCCTGAAAGCTTTCAGTAGTTGATTTTTTTCCCCCCAGTTTGCTGGAGGTCATGTGCAGAGAGACCAAGATAGACACAGCACCCCCATGGGGCATGGTGACAGCAGTCCCTTGTCCTCCACCCGCCCCCTCTTGGGCACACATGCATGTATACCCAGGATGTCTCTTTTGTTTTTCCTTTTGTAGAGAGAGTTTTGCTATAGGGTGTGTGCACTCGCCAGAGAGACAGAGAGCGAGAAATCACACACACACACACACACACACACACACCCGGGAGAATGGCCATGCCGCAGCCCCTTCTCCCATTCTCTTGCGATTTTGAGTATGTATGCACACGCACCCAGCCTGAGTTTTAAACTACTGGACCTGGGACTTGAACCACTATCCACTACATGGGAGTTCAGCGACGTAACCACTATGGCATCCGTTCGGCCCAGCCTTTCCTTTAAACTATCGAGGGGAAGCAAGTGCCCGTTTCATGTGTGGGTTCGATGGAGGAAAGGACCTCTCGGGTGTGGGGGACGGGGAGGGCTTTGCTGCTCTGTGCGAACTGTGGCTCCGGCTCGGGCTCTGAGCAGAGGCGGCCGTGCACAGTGGCCTGGCAGCACCTGGGTGGGGCTCGGGGATGAGCGTCTCCGTCTCTGAGAAAGCGGGAGGTGTGACTGTCGCTGCACGTGTGGAAGGAGGCATGTGAGTACTTGCCCGGTCCTGTCCGATGGGCGACATTCCTAGCTGGAAACCGGGAGGAGGTCTGTCTTGTTCCGAGTCAGTGACTTCGGCGATTTCTGACCTCAGGGAAATCGCCGAAGCTGTCAAGAGCTGCAGGCCCAGAGTCCCACCTGCCGCCGTGTTCGAAGGCCACATGCTGCTGTCTGGTGAGCCGCGAGGACCTGCGTGTCTGCGTGCAGAAACCGTCGGGCTCTGCCGTGTGTCCATTGGGCTGTGATGTCTGTACCCACCCGCCGTCGCACTGGCTTAGGGTCGAGCACACATTTTCTTCACGCCGTCGAGCTCTGTGAGGGCCCCTTTCTTCGGGGGGGTGCACGGGCCTGCACTTGGGGGCGGAAGTGGACGACTGCCAGCGGCCTGGCCTGCCGAGCCGTCCTGCCCCTTCTTTCTTTGTCTTTTCTTTCTTGTCTTTTCTTTTCTTTTCTTTTCTTTTCTTTCTTTTCTTGTCTTTTCTTTCTTTTCTTGTGGAGAGGTTTTTGCTATAGGGCGCGTGCGCTCGCCAGAAGGACAGAGACAGAAAGAAAGTTAGAAATCACCCCCTGGGGGGATGGCCACGCCGCAGTCCCTTCTCCTCTGTTCTCCTCTCGGGATCCTGGGCACGCACGTACATGCGCCCAGCGTGAGTTTAAACCACCGGGTCTGGGACTCAAACTGTGTTTGGCCACATGGGAGTCCAGCGACAGCCATTACGCCAACTGCTGGTCCCTGTGCTGTGTTCTGAGTGTGCATTCTTGGCAACACCTAGCGATTCTGGGCATCGCGGCGATGCTAATTATTGAAAATGCCCAACTGCAAGGACACAGCGGTGGGCGATGCAGCGGCACCGTCCTGGGTGGTTTTGTGGCCTCGAATCGTTGACATGCTGACTCCTTCCTGCTCAGGAAGGTGGAGCCTTCGAGGGCGGTCAGGCCAGGCCCTCGAGGTGGGGCTGCGGGGCGTGGGCGGCAGCTGCGTGGTGTCTGTCTCGTGTTACCCGCGTTGTTTCCAGAGCACCTTCAGTGCACCCCTCCTCTCAAGGTCTCGAGCCCTTCCGGATGGGCCCGTACACCAACTTCGTGAACATCGGAGAGCGCTGTAACGTCGCAGGGTCCAGGAAGTTCGCCAAGCTCGTCATGGCTGGGAGCTATGAGGTGAGCATGGCAGGAAGCCCTGTGGCGGTGGTGGGTCGGCAGATGGCACGGGAGTGTGGGGGCGGCGGTGCTGTGGCAGCAGGCCGGGCCGGGCAGGGCTTCACACGCAGAGCTGCGGTCGCATCTGTCAGAAAGCATCGTGGAGGGGCGTGAAGTGGGAGCGACTAAGTCGAACATCTCGACTGTGAGCTGTTTGGCTTCTCACAAATACTCCAGGGATGGGCTGCCAAGGAGACCCCTGCCTCCTCTTCAGGACACCTCAGTGCCAGCTGCCGAGGGCGGCATTGGGGCTATGGGCTGCAGACCGGGCCGTTCAGCCCGCCACTCTGGGGGCACAGTTCGGTCACACACAGCCTTCCCATGCGTCGCAGGGGCTCCTGCAAATGTGGAGCTGAGCAAGGCAGACGTGGCTGGGCCGCAGTGTCTGATGTGACTCCCAGGACGGGCAGGGCTGCGGCAGAGCTGTCACCAGGACAGGCCTGCCGTCCATGCCCCCTAGTTAAGGTTCGTGGCGTCCCCAGAGGCAGGTCCCGGCCTCAGCCCCTCTGGTGCGTCTACCTGACCCGGCCACTCTCTGGCATTCCTCCTCCCCACTTGCTGCTGCCCCGGTGCCATCTGCCCTCTCGTGGTCCCCTCGGTCCAGAAGTCCCCGGTGTGACTATGCGAAGGTGAAGGCCACGCTCCTCAGGCCACGTCCATCCTCCCCTCAGCACGTGGCTGCTGCCATCCCCGTGGTATGTGCACCTGCCGGGAGGCTGCGGCCCGCACGGTGCCGTGTTCTCGCCAGGCAGCGCCCTGTCGTGGTAGGGTTCCCAAGGCGTCTGTGTCCCTCCTGTTCCCCGAGCGGATTGGTCTGGCCCCAAAGGGGACAACATCTTAGGAGGCAGGCGGGTGGCAGTAACGGCGTCTGGGGAGCCAGGCCTCCCTGCAGGCCAGTCTGGTGCTGCGCACTCGACCCCATCGTGCAGCCACCCTCCCGGCCCGTGAGCCCTGCTCTGAGGCCTCTGTGTCTGCACGTGGGGGTCGTTTCGAGTCTACCACGCCATGCCCTCTGCTCCTACTCTGCCTGGCGGGTGGGGGAAGAGGGAGGGCCCTGCACAGTCTGCCTCTCAGCCTGGTGACCCCTCAGCGCGGTGGCTGAGGAGGGTCTGGGAGAAGCTCCGGTCCTGCCTTCCCGCTTAACTCCTGCCCCCCCTGGACGAACCTCCAAGCCTCCAGACCTCAGGCTGTCACTTCCTCGGTGACTCACGAGTCGGTCTGGTCGGGTCCCCTCCCTCCTTCAGGTCTCTGTCCTCAGCTGTGTGCCTGTGTCCTCTGCCCCCAGTCCAGCCCTCGCATTCAGTCCCTTTCCCCAGCTTTCCTCTGGGCCTGTATAGGCCTGTGCCGCGCTGGGGCTCAGACCCTGCTGGCTTGGGCCCCCGCGTGCTGTCCCAGCGACCCGCAGTCCCTCTGTCCCTGTGTGCACGCCCCAGCCCCACCTGGGTGTCAGCCCCTCACGAGCAGGGACTGGACTTGGTACTTGCTGTTTCTAAAAACCTTTTACATCCTGTGGTGGTTTTTCTCTGCAACCCTGACTCGCCGTGAGGGTGCCTCCCGGGACGTCCTGGAGGGAACTTGTCTGTCCGGTGACAGTGGCTGTACAGTCTCCCCGTGTGGTTTTCCCGGGCGAGGCGAGTCGGGACGCATTGGTCTGCGCAACTTCCCCCGCCGTACCGGGGAGTACGCAGCGAGGGCTCGGGAGCCTGCTCTGTCGGGAACCTGAGCACACGTGTGTCGTGCCCCGCGTAGTTCAGGCTAATTCAGAACTTTCTTCTTCTTTTTTTTTGGCCATAGGATGCGTGCACTTGCTGGAGAGAGAAGAGAGACAGAGAGAGAGAGGGGAAGTGGCAAATCACCCCAGGGGGAGTGTCACGCCACGCTCCCTCCTCCATCCGCCTGGTGACTTTCAGCACGCATATGTATGTGTGGGGCCCCGAGTCAGACCTGTTGAGATTTCCAAGTACGCCCCCTCTGTTCCCAGTGAGCACCTGGTTCTGGTGCAGTCGTGAGGGTGCTGCTGCCGAGAACCGTGGCTGCCCAGAGGCGGACCACGGCGGACTGCAGTGTCCCGAGTGTGCCCCAGTAGCACGCACGCGGGCCTGCGTGGTGTGTGCTCTGGGAGAGCTGGGGTAACCGTGTGCCGAAGCAGTCGGCAGCCTTCCCGTCTGGGAGCTCGCAGTCTGACCTGGCCTTCCCCGGGGAGCCTGTGGTGTGGTGAGCACTGTGTGTCCAGGCCAGCGCTCAGGAGCGGTGGGAGCCCCGCAGTCTCCGAGGCCCTCTCTAGGAGAGGGGTCCTGAGCTGGGTCTTGCCTAGTGAGGAGGGAGGGGAGTGTGTCCGATAGAGGGCAGGCAGCACGTGATCCCGGCACAGACCTGGGTGCGGACTTGGCTGCGGGGAGGTGGGGCCAGCGCAGAGACCTGGCCCGCCAGCCTGAGGAGTCTGGATTCCTCCTAGCAGGAGAGCAGCCTGTTGGAGTGCATACGCCAAGTACTGCACGAGGAGGGCGGGCTGTGATGGGGGGAGGGGCCTGCGCGAGGAGGGTTGGCTGTGATGGGTGATGGGGGGCAGGGGGCCTGGCCGGAGGTCCAGTGGGCTGTGATGAGCGATGGTGGGGGTGGCCCAGGGGCCTGTCTGGGTGGTCTTGTGTAGTCTGAACGGGCTTCTGGGAGGGCCTGCTGGCTCCTAATGCACGTCCCGTCCCTCTCCCCCAGGAAGCCCTGAGTGTGGCCAGAGTGCAGGTGGAGATGGGCGCACAGGTGCTGGACATCAACATGGACGACGGCTTGCTGGACGGGCCCCGCGCCGTGGCCAGGTTCTGCAACCTCATCGCCTCCGAGCCGGACATCGCCAAGGTCGCGCAGGGCTGCTGCTCACCACGGGCGTGTCCGGCCGCTCTGCCTTTTGTCCTGCTCCTGCTCTGCCTGCCGTCCCTCCGTCTGTCCGCTCCAGAGCTGGCTGCTGCCCATGTTGAAGGCATAGTCTCCGATGGTCAGCCTTCCCGGCTGATGGTGCCCTTTTCAGTAAAAGCCAGATTTTGCAGAGACACGGCCTCAGTGCGGCTGTTTCCAGTGCTTCTGGGCTTGGTCCCGAGAACTGGCGGGTTCCCACTGTCTGGGCAGACTGCGAGCTTCTCTGCGCACCCCTGGGGAGCGTGCCAGCCCTGGGCTCCACTGCCCCACAGGCCGGGGTCGGCGAGGCCCTGCTCACTGCAGGAGTGAGAGCTCTTTCTAGGCGTGCCAGAGTGAGACAAGTACAAAGTAAGCTGGAGGAAGGTATTCTGTCGGCTTTTACATTTGTTCCTTAAAAGGTGAGAGGTAATTTTTTTTTTTTTTAACAAATTTTTGCTGGAGGGTATGTACACTTGATGGAGAGACAGAAAGCAAGAAATCACCCCCAGGGGGATGACCACACCTCAGCCCCTCCTTCTCCATTCTCCTCTTGGGGTTTTGGGTACGCACGCACATGTGCCCGGTGTGCATTTCAAGCTGCCAGGTCTGGACCTCGAACCATAGTTGGCCTCGTGGGAGTCCACACATGAACCATTATGTCATCTGCTGATCCCAAAAAGGGGAAGATAATTTTTGTGTCAGTCTTAAAAATATTATATAGGGAGACCAGCAGTTGGCGTAATGGCTATGTTGCTAGACTCCCATGTAGTTGACCACGGTTCGAGTCTCAGACCCGGTGGTTTAAACTCACGCTGGGCACGTGTGCATGTGTGCCCAGGATCCCAAGAGGAGAATGGAGAAGAAGGGATTGTGGTGTGGCCATCCCCCCTGGGAGTGTGGTTTCTCATTTTCTCTCTCTGTCTCTGGTGAGTGCACGTACCCTATAGCAAAAACCTCTCCCCACCAAAAAAATTATACAGGTTCAAACAGGTTTAAAAATCTGACCTCTCTGTCATTCAGTTTCAGTTTGTGATGAGTGGTTCTGCTTTTCACTAGAGGGTGTGCGTGCTTGCCTGAGAGGCAGAGAGGGAGAGAAGGCACCCTCATCGGGCCGTAGTCACGCAGTCCCTTCCCCATCTCCGTCCTGTTGGGGTTTTCAAGCTGCCAGGGCTGCGGCAGAACTATGGCTGGCCGTGTGGGGTCCAGCTCCCTGAAGCACTCCATTGTGGGGCTGGTCCTTGGAGTGATTTTTGAAGTTCATTTTTAGGAAAAAGTTCTTACTGCTTTAAAAAAAATATTTTGTCAGAAGTGGCGTGTGGTTGCTGGGCAGAGACAGTGGAGGGATGAGAAAGCTCCCCCCGTTGGGCAGGTCTCACTGCAACCCCTTCTCCACCTCCCTCCTCCTGAGATTGGGGGGCACGCATGCCCATGTGCTCGGTGTGTTTCTGAAGCCACTGCGTCCGGCTGAAAGCGTAGTTGGCCCCGCGTGGCCCCGCTGCCTTCGCCACCAGGCTGGGGCTGGACCCTCCCAGGGCTTCAAGGCTTTCACTTTGCGGAAGGGGCTGCGCGTGTCTGTGACGCTTCTGCACATGTTTCAGCCACAGCCTGTGAGCACTGGCTTACATGGGCCTGCCTCTCATCTGTCTTTTCTAAAAAGCCTCAGCACCTCAGGGCCGGGGCGCAGAGGAGCTGGCGGCTTGCTGAAAGCTGGTGGGAGCCTGGCAGAGAGCCCACCTGCGTTCCCTCCCCGCCGCCTCACACGGGCTCTGGTGCCTGGTTTGCCTGCTCGGTGCACGGAGGGGCCAGAGGGCCTCGCTGACTGTCCTTGGAGGCTGTCACCTGGCGTGCTGCTCACTGCGGTCATTTCCTCTCTTCCTGATTTTGACCCACTGTCAAGACGAGTGGGATAAACCCCCAGGGCAGCAGGTCTCCACAGCGGGCTGGGCCCACTGGCCAGGCCTGGCCTCTGCGTAAGTCCTTTCCGGCAGACCTTCGTTACTAGCAGGCCAAGAGCGGGTCTGGCAGAGTCCTCGTCTGCCTCGCGGTCCCTTGGAGGCTTTTGGGACTCACTCCTGCTCATCCCGGTCAGTCCTCCGCTGAGGTGCCTGCTGCCCTGGGAGGCCTCCCTGCCTTGACAGGGTGTGCCCCGAGACAGGCCTTAGGCAGTCTGCTTCCCACTCTGCAGCAGTCCCATCAGAGCCGCCCTGCTTTCCTAGACAGGGCAGCGAGTTTAGCAGGGATGTGGCCTCATCTAACGGCTCCCGCAGCCGAGCCTTAGGTCAGCTCTGATAGGAAAGCTCGTTCTTCTCCAGCCAGGGACTCGATTTTCTAAAGGGAAGACTAAATTCAAGTGAGGCTCGTGGGCTGCTCCAAGGGTGCTCGAGGCCTCGATCTCCAAGTCAGACCAGGGCCGACTCCACCTTGGGGTGTGTGCTTGGCTGCGAGCTGGTCTCCGAGAGGCCCTCGGTGCGGATGGTCTGGGCGGGCCCGGCCTGAGAGTGGCTCCTGCGGCCGTCCGAGTGCTGCGGGCTTTGAGAGCAAGTGTCCTGGGCCCGGGCTCCCCTCTGAGCGGACGTGGGGCGGGGAGCCCTAGGGGGCGTCCTTGGCCTCTGACCTCTGTGCTCCGCTCCCAGGTGCCCTTGTGCATCGACTCCTCCAACTTCGCTGTGATCGAGGCGGGGCTGAAGTGCTGCCAGGGGAAGTGCATCGTCAATAGCATCAGCCTGAAGGAGGGCGAGGGCGACTTCCTGGAGAAGGCCCGGCGGGTGAAGAGGTTTGGCGCTGCTGTCGTGGTGATGGCTTTTGATGAGGAAGGCCAGGTGCGTGAGGCCCGGTGGCCGAGTTCCCTCGGGACTCTCAGGTCAGGGAGCCGTGGGGAGCTGACGTCTGCAACCGCCACCCAGTACACACGGCCTCGCGCCCGGCTGTGCGAGCACCTCTGGGCGGTCTCCACGTGGGAGGGGCCGGGTCACTCGGTCACTCGGAAGATGAGACTGGCACTACTGGCTGTGCGTTGGGGAGACAGTGAGGTTAGAGCCCTATTTCCGGCTGTGCACTGAAAGCTGACGCTGATAGTGATCAAAATGAGCAAACCGGAATTCTGAAGGACAAGTGTTGGAGCACCCTAACCTAAGCTCGGGTCGAGGGTGTGCTTGCTAATTCAGAAAGCGAGAGAAGACCGGCAGAGCTGGTCACGGGAAAGCTCGGCACCAGGCAGGGCGCGACACGGTGCCATGTGCGAGGTGCACACTGACGGCGAGCCACGTCCCCGATGTGCGGTCTGTTCCGTTTGGTCTGGTTTTAGGTTTTTGCCATAGGGTGGGTGCCTGTGCTCACCAGAGAGACACTGGGACAGTGAGGGAGAGTGAGAGGTCGCCCCTGGCAGTGTGGCCACACTGCAGTCCCTTCTCCACTCTTCTGGGGTTTGGGGCATGCACGCACATGTGCCCAGTGCAGTCTTCTAGCTCCCAGGTCGGGACTCAAACCGTGGTCAGCCTTCCAGCTCCCAGGTCGGGACTCAAACTGTGGTCAGCCTTCCAGCTCCCAGGTCGGGACTCAAACCGTGGTCAGCCGTGAGGGTTCTGGCACCTTTGTCAAACCGTGGTCAGCCTTCCAGCTCCCAGGTCGGGACTCAAACCGTGGTCAGCCTTCCAGCTCCCAGGTCGGGACTCAAACCGTGGTCAGCCTTCCAGCTCCCAGGTCGGGACTCAAACCGTGGTCAGCCGTGAGGGTTCTGGCACCTTTGCCACCACATTACTTGCTGGGCCTGTGAGGTCGTATGAACTACTAGGCCGACACCCAAATCAGCCCAGCAGGAAAATGCTCATCACCAGGCCGGCCGATGTGTGCAGTTCGGGTTTGAAAGCCACCTGGACCCAGGCAGCCAGAGCAGGGGGCAGCGGGAGAGCCCGACGTTGCAGGTGCTGGCGACGGCGCAGGGCCTCTGGGCCGCAGGAAGCACTCGTGGGGACGTGGCTGCCTGGGTGAGCTGGAAAGCCTTGAGGGTGTCATTTGTTTTTCTTTGGTTTATTTTTTGAGAGTTTTGCTCTAGGGCACGTGTGCTTCCTGGAGAGACAGAGAGACAGAGCAAGAAATCCCCCACCCCCACAGCCGTGCTGCATCCCTTCCCCATTCTCCTGGGACCATGGGCACGCACGCTTGCGGGAGTCTCATCACGCTGTCCAACTCCACCTGCAGGGTCATCGTGCTCCCCTCTCAGCAGCCACCTGGGCTGGCTGTTGTCCTGGTGACAGTGACACCCCCCCCCCCCGCCCCGTGCCTGGGACATTGTGGCCAGGGTGACACTCCTGTCTGCCACACGGCTCCAAACACGGCCTTGCTTACTGTACTTCTCGGTGTCGGGCTGTGTCTGAGGCCGAGTAGCCCTGGTTGGATTTGCATGTGACCACAGATAAAAAGCAAATGCAGGGGGACTGGCAGATGGTGTAATGCTTATGGCACTGGACTCCCACATAGGTGGCCGCCGTTCGAGTCCTGGACCTGGCAGCTTGAAACTCATGCCAGGTGTGCGTGCGTACGTGCCCAAAATCCTTAGAGGAGAATGGAGGTGAAGGGATTGGGGCATGGCCACCCTCCTGGGGGTGATTTCTCGATTTCTGTCTTTCTATCTCTGTCTCCCTGGCAAGTGCATATACCCTATAGCAAAAGTCTCTCTTAAAAAAGAAAAAAAGGGAGGGCAGTGAAGCCCGGAGCCTTGTAGCTTACAGAGTAGAAAAACTGGTGCCGTTCTCCCTGAGGACAGTGGGTCCCGTTGAGACACAGAGGTGTTTGTGGCCGGGAGCTGATCGCCTTGTGCCTGGTCATGACCCACCAAGGATCCGGTAGTGTTAAGTGGACGCCGTATGCACAGATTCCACACCAGCACTGTGGGAGCCCACGGCTCGCAGGGCCCTCCTGCAGGAGACGGAGCCAGGTTACACCCTCTCCTGGGGCCTGCCGGGGCGCCGAGCAGCCTGCTTGTGCTCCTCGTCGAGTTGCGCTGCACGTTATACAGAGTGACACAGGGACGTCCATAACAGAAAGCTCAGACGCAGCAGAATGAGGGGTCTTCAGAAAGTTAACGGGGAATGTGTGTTATGAGAAAACTGCACATGGATTTCAGTTTTTGTTGAGCAAAAATAAACTTGCCCCTTAATTCTATTCTCCATCAGCTTTTTTTTTTTGGAGAGGTTTTTGCTATAGGGCACTTGTGCTCGCCAGCCAGCCAGACAGACAGAAAGCAGGAAATCACCCCCGGGGGGGGGGGTGTGGCCACGCCGCAATCCCTTCTCCTCCATTCTCCTCTTGGGATCTTAGGCATGCACGCACACGTGCCCGGCGTGAGTTTAAGCCACCGGGTCCGGGACTCGAATCTCAGTCGATTACGTAGGAGTCCTGCGACATAGCCATTAAGCCAACTGCTGGTCTCCTCCATCAGCTTTTTGAAGTCCCTCGTGCAGGTGCTGAGGTGTAGAGGCTGGGCTTCACTAGGCCGCTGTCCACTGTGCAGGGGTGAAGTCGGGGTGGAGCCAGGGCTTGCTACAGTGGGAGTGGCCTTTGACGGCACCATCAGTGGTGTGCAGCAGGTGGCTTCTGCGTGGGAAGCAGAGGAACCCTTGCCCACCGCCTTCCGGGGCTGGCTGCTGTTCCAGGGCATGTTGTGATCCAGCCGCCAGGTCGAGGCCAGCCCCGACAGCAGGGACTGGCCTGAGACTCCTGGGCTGTGAGGCGACGAGGCAGCCTTTCTGCGCTCTCCTCGTTAGTTCTGAGGAGCTCTCATTTATCTAAATACAGGATCTAGGTCACATTCATTGAAACTTTAGTGGGGAAAATAACTGTTACTATCACTCTCTAGATTTAATTCCCCTTTTTAAATTAAAATTATTTTTATATCACCAGTTTTTTTTTTTTTTTTTTTTTGGGGGGTGGTGCTA